ATTTTGTGTCATGCAGACAAAGCAGCTTCCAAGTAAGGGCACCCAACACCAATTGTGAAGGCTGACACCTCTCCCTGGACAATCACATCTCAACCTTTTCAGATCCCCATTGCTGACACCAGTTAGCTCAGAAGACACCCAGATAAAGCAGTGGGGAGGGACAGAACTGCCACCAAAGTCCTCTGCTGCCTCTAGCTGAAGGGCAAGCCTCCAGGGCCAGGCAGATCTCAGCACCGGTGAGCCTCAGCCTGCCCACGCAGGCTCCCTCCATCCCGAGCCAGGTTTCTGCAGCTCTTCCTTGCAACTTCTGGGCAGCTCTACCTGCAGCTCAGTGATTTTCTGTGCATTTGTATTTAAAAGCTGTGTACACACACCCTTCCCCGCCAGCTCCTTCTGTTCCTCCTCCTACGCACTTCAGTCCTGCTCCTCAGATGGTCCCCTCATGAACAGCCTCTAGTCTAATAGTCTTCATTTAACACAAAACACATCCAGAAGAGGAGACAACACCACATATAAAGTTTACAAGTTCAGATTACTCAATCAGAATCATTTTCATACTTTCTCTTACCTTCTGTGGTCAGTGAATATTTTTTATTTTTTTGGAAAGATGAAAGCGAGCAACCACCACTATGATGGTCCTTGTTGTTCTACCTTCCTTTTAACACTGAAATTAGAGCTGTACCATATGCTGTGCTCTCATTAAAAAAAAAAATGCCATTATGAAAGGGTCCTACTCATTAACACAAGGGACTGGTATTGACAGACCCAGTTCCTCAGGTTTAGAGCTCCCAATTTACATGACCAGTCACCTCAAAACATGTGTGCGTATGAGATGTATAAAATTCACATGATTTTAGAATTAATGCTGAAACCAGTACTTTACTGTCTTGAAACTTAAGCCCTTTTTCTTCGCAGACTACAAGGCCACAAGTTTGTGCTTCTGTGTATGGGATATAATGCCAATACTGCTACAGAAATTCTCTCTCAGAAATAAAGAAGTTCTTTGAAAATAGTAAAACATAATATTCCTCAAAGCTTTCTATTTTGTATAGCGCCTGTTCTCTGCAAAAAGTTTCCTGAGATCCTGCTACTTAGAATGTTTGGATCAAAAACTTCTAGGAGCAGCCTGAAAAGAAAGAGGGTGCAGGTTCCAGGAATCATAGAGAATATTCACAGCAGCGGACTAAGCACAGTGTTTAGGATTCCTGTATTCTGTTAAAAAGGAGCTGCATGGCTTGTCAGTTAACCAAACACAGTCCTAGAAAAACTCCGTGTGTAACTATAAAGAGCCTCACCCTCGCTGTCCAAAATGAGGAATGAAAAACACAGCTTGTGCAGTACAACCACAATGGTCCTGACTCAAAGCTGCTTTAAAAGCGAGCCTCTTAAAAGCCCGTTTCAGCAGTACTGTACCGCAGCCAAGTCCAAAGGTGGAATTCATTAACCTGTGCTCCCGGGGGTCACCTGGGCAAAGGCACAGACAAGGCACTGACTCCTCAGTCCCCCAGCCAATTATTTCTTAACGCTGTTTCTCAAACCAGGTTCCTTAATTTGAATGTAGGTAGGAAATTAATTCAAACTCATGCTTTATGCAAAGGACCCCTGGCCTTACAGGGCTGATCCAAGCACCCATGACCTGAAAACCACCCAGATGCCAGGTTTCTCTGTCAGCAGGCAGGATTATTGCTTCGGAAAGCTGCTGTAATGCTTCCTCACGTACTAACCTGGAGCCTAATGACAGCCGCTACCAGCGCGCCCAGCTGGTACCTGGGATGCCGTAGGCTCTCTCGGGAGGGCTGTGTGTGGACACGCAGGAACGCGGCCTCTCTTTCATTGCATCTCCCTGCCCCACCCAAGGAGGCATGTAACAACCCGAGGAAACCGCCAGACCTGTCAAAGTCTCCAACTGCTGAAGAAACAGCACTGAGGATCAGAAGTCCAGGAAACTTTCTCCATCGCAGTGCTTAAGGTAGGGCAGGTGAGCTCCATCCCTAGTGCCAGGATCGATGGACAGCCAGCAGGGCTCTTCTGGCCTCCATCTCCACTCTAACTTAGCTCCCAAGCACTGCCCCAGCTTGCTAACAGGACCCATATTGCCCCAGCTGACGGGGAGCACACCTCCTCACATGCACTGCATATGCAAACACACATATACAGGGAAAAAGAGATTTACAGAGTGCTAAGAGAGAATGTTACATCCTAAAGCAGATGCTCCCCTATGCATTTTCTTGACCCTGTGGAAGATTTACCTTCAGTGATATCTAAGCTCCTTCCATACATGCGACCAAGCACTGGAGGCCCCTCTTTTTTGTCACTATTATGTCTACTGGCAGCAGCAAATTTTAACTGACATATCCAGCACAACTTCAGTCTTGACAAGTTCGGAGAACCTAACACATGCTCCGCTGACAGCCAGGGTTCAACACAAGCACAGTTGCTGTTTCAAGAAGCGAAGTTGCTCCTTTTACCAAATGTCAACAACTTGGGCAAAACCTCAGCTGACTCATCGCAGCCCACAGCAGTTGAAATCTGCATCCCATCGCGCAGAGGAACTTCCAGAGACCCAAGGAAGGCTAAGAATGCCTCCTTTGTGCCCCACGGTCAGGTTGCTGGAAGGTGGAAAGGCTGCATCCGAGCCCCCGGTGCCTGTTCGTCCACCCTGCACAGAAGTGTGCACTGGGCAAGGCCAAAAGTCTGGCTTTCTCCTGCTATAAGTTCATCCTTGGTTTCTGAAAGGGAAGGCTTAGATGTTTAACATTCACTTTGTCCTTTCAGCACAAAGCCAGGTGCTGAAACCATGCTCCTCTCAGGGACTTGTTTTATACCTGTCACCTCAGCATTTTTATTTTTATTTTTTTTACGAACTACTCCAAGCAGCTCCTTTCTCAGCAAAGCACTTGTTCCAGATACCACTCCAAACGCTGCCTCCTCTTCCAACACCGTACACAAAGCTGGGTCACTCAGCTCGGAGGGAAGCCCGCTGGAAGGCAGCACTGCAGGGCCTGAGTTCATCTACCCAAGTGTTTGTTCAGCTCAGGAAGGCGAGGAGCCTAACAGCAGCAACAGGAATTCCACAGAGCTGGGACTGCAAAGATCATTAGAGGGTGCAAGTAGAACCATGGGGACGGCAGGTTGCAAATACCAGAAAAACTAGCAACAGCATGCTTTAGTCCTTAACTATGGAGGCAACATAAGCTGTATTTAGTATTCCCTGTGGGGCAGGAGGACACTCAGGAGTCCCCTGTGTGTTCAACACCTGTGAAACACCACCAGTTTGCATGACCTGAGATAACAGATGCACAGTATCCAGGTATGCAGGGTACAAGTACAGACAGCGAGCAGCCCTGTTTTGAAAACAGAGCAGAAAGCAGGTGTTAAAGGGATGGATATTAAAGGTCAGGTTACACAGAGAGCAGCTGGAACTTCAAAGCTGATAACCTAGTTTGAATTTAAGCCTCATATTCTCCTGCTGACATCACCTGGTGGCCAAGATGACCTGTCCCCCATTTATAAGGTAATAAGGATGTCCTTTGTTCTCTGGAATTCAATGCACCTGAAAACATTCAGGTTAAAAAGCTGTCTAGTTGAGTGCCACTGCTTCTGTAACACCACTGGAGAGCACAGCAGAACAGAATTTGGACAGATGGTTTTAGTTTCTTGGATGGGAAGAGTTGGGGAGTGGTTAAATGCCCTCCTTCATGCAGGGCCTAAGTGTTGCTGTTCCACGGCGCTCCCTCCAGGCTGAAGGACAGCATTTGTTAGAGTTAGCAGCTGTGCTACCAGAACGGGTAACAAAAGTTCACACTTTGAAGTGCCAAGAAACCTCTTGCTTCAGAATTGAGTCTGGTCCCATGGCAACACACAGACAGAGGTCCGCAAGAGCTTTAACACCTCAAACAGGACTGATAAGTGGAGCTCGCTGCAGGGTTTTCTACTGTAACTTCAACCTAAGCATGAAAATCAATGACAGCTTCAGCCAGTTTTAGTGAATCTAAAGGAACTGCTTTTCTTGAGCTTTGCAATTAAGGCAGCCTTTCAAAGAGTGACGTTTGCCAATTCTGTAAGCATTTTATCGCCTCTTCGTCTCACGCAAAACACAAGTTTGAGGAAAAAGTGATTAACTGAAGAAAATGTGTTCAAAACAGGTTAGACACAGCCAACACTGCTTAATGTCTTCGGTTTACTTCTGGAATCATTCCTCTGAAATATAACATACTTCAGACATTATGTCCTAAAAATAAGAGGCATTTGCAAGGCCTTAAACAAACAAACAAAAGCAGAACAGCTCTTTTCCTCAATCACCATTTTGATTTACCTAAGGAGCATCCGCATTTAACACGCTATCATTCATACTAAAGCCATGTTTAGCAGGTCACGTACCTGCTTTGAGCGGTCAGTGATCTCATTTCAACAACTGAGTGCCAGAATTCCCCATCAGGTGTTCCCACTCCACACCAGACCAAAGGAAACAAGGTATTAACAAAACTGCCACTGAGGTTGGGAAGAATCACAGCAGTCAGGATGTTTGACAAGCATTTGTGTTTTGAACTTCATGTGCCAATCAGTAAAACACTCCATCATGACTAGACCACCTATGAATCCCCAGATGTCAGAGCTCTTCCACACAGGTATGTATCCTACCTATATTTATCTATTTACGGGACATGAGGTTAAAGATCTTGGCCAAAACTCTGAAGGCATCACTGGAGAAGCCTGGAAGAAAACCCTTTTTGAGATCTCCTTTTCCTGTAACACAGAAGGAATCTTTTAGGAAGATTTAAAATGCCTCTGCATATCCTAAAGGTAATAGGGAGCAGGATTCAAAGCCTTAGTAAGCAATACTGGCCTACTTATTCAGACCAGACTGATTACGTTCATAATGCCATTTTACAGTAAAATAGCAAGCTGTTTTCTCTGTCAGAGTAAAATATCCCAGACATTCCTCCTATGGTCTCGTTTACTCTCATTGTTAAGATAAATGTATTTTACAGAAGCATTACCTGGCGAAGAAGTTAGTGAAAGGGCCCAGTATTTTTCGCTTACTGTCCCCGTCTGTCTCTTGGCAGCACTCCTGCTGACTCTGATCGTTGCTCTCCTTAGTGGAGTTCAGGGTAACATCCGAGAAGTGCGCCTCGTCAGTCTCAAGAGTCACAATCGCACTTGAACTGCTTGTGACCACGAAGTCCAAAATGTCTTCGTTGCTAACAGATAAAGTCGTTGACAGTTCTGTGCTAAGACTGGAAACACTGCAGACAGAGATATCATCGCTTCGATTCAGAGTTTTTGAAGTTGGGCTGTAAAGTTTGACGGTGTCATACCCAGTTCTTGGAAAAGTAGAGGATTTTCGCACAGCGTGATCGTGTTCAGAAGTCAGAGAAGGTGGAGGCACATAAGACGGCAGCGTGCACGCGCTCTGAAAAGCTCTGTCAGGCACAATCTCAGGTTCTGACTGCTTTCTCTTCACATTTAACACACTGCAGTGAACGGGCTCTGGATTTCCGATTTCTAGAGTTGGAATTCCGGAATCCACGGATTTAAGGCTATGGCAATCTTCTAAAGCACTGGAGGGCTGACCAGGTCCGTACTCAGGCAACGAGAGAGATCTTGGGGCCCTTGAATTCAAGCTTTGAAGACCCTGGATACCGCTGCCGACTCTCGCGTCCAGAATTCCCATCAAGCTCAAACCATTTAAGGAGTTGGATAAATTTACGTCGGTTGTCTTGGGCCAAGTGGTAACTGGTTAAAAAGGAAGAAAAGACAAGATTATGAGTTTGCAGGGAGATTTTTTTTTTAATTACACTCAGTCCTGTCATAGATTAGGCTCTGTAATTAAAAGTTATTCATCTCCTGCAGATAATTAATGTCCCTTCCCCCTGCCTGAACAAGCAGGACAATGGCAACTTAATTTAGGCTCCTAGAAAACGTCAAGCATGAAAAGCTTTTCTTCAACAGTTTGTGTGCCAGTGATCGCTCCACATCCATCTCCTGAGAGTGAAATTACACGCTACGAAAATTGCAGTACTTGAATGTTCCACGTCAATATTAATTCAGAAATTGGAGATTGGTTTTTACATAGTCAGAAATGCATGTTTACTGATGTGTAGGACCTATAAACATTATTTCCACATGCTTTACAACTTAGACCAAAATTACGAAGTGTGCATTTAAACAGAATTTCTCAGCTTTCTTCTGGAAACCATAAAACTTCCAATGAATTTGTCACTCAAACAGAACGCGTACTATACGAGCTCTGCACTAAGCAAGAGATGCAAAACCTGAACAGCTATGAAGTTATTCATGCAGACAACATTTTGACAAGGCACACGATGCACTTCATCAGTGCACGTACAGTAGAACTGATACTTGCACATCTGTTATATTTACTGCATGCAGGGACCACTGCACTCCCCATCTGCACCACTACTGACCCTTTAACACACCAGGTGATTGGGACAATGGCATCACACACGTGGTTCTGTACAAACAGCTAAATTATGTCCAGCTCTGCTGAAGTTTGCAAGGTAATTATATCAGCTGGCAGAAGAAGTGTGCACATATTGCTGCAGTTTCTTCCCTCCGAAACACTTTCTGTGCAAGGTGTGAAGCAGTGAACACTCCTCCCATCTTGCAAATGGCTCTTGCTAAGCAGATTTTTCTCCAGCTCCTGAAGCCGGGCCTCCTGCTGCAGGTCTCTGTTCTCTCCGAAGCACAGCACTTAATTAAAGGTGCCAGTTGTCCTCTAGGAGGTTCCCCCCGTTCAACAAATAACTCATTCAGGAAAACTGCTTCCTTTGAGCAGTTCCCAACCTTTGGCTCGCAGCCCTTCAGCCCTGCCAAACGCCAGGGTCTGAGGCATCATTTGGCCTTAGATCTGAGCCCAGCGAGGCACTCTGGAGTTGTGCTGCAGGCAGGCAGCGAGCAGGAACACTTCTCAAACATATTCCATTTCTACAAATTGTAAAGCTTTTCCCCTAAGCATTTAGTCATGTGAAAAGTTTGTGAATCCAAACCTAACTCTCAGGTTATACCAACTCCTTAACTGAACTCCAGGCACTATTCACTACAGGATCCATCACTCCATTCACTCCTAAAATTAAGGAAGAAGCCAAGTAAACCGCTCTGGTTATTCCACCTTTTGGGCACTTCCAGAACTTTCTAACAGCCAACTACGTACCATCCATGCAAATCAATTACTGCAGCAATCGTCTAAGCTTTGGATAAGCAAGGTTTCAAACTTACTGTTTTGACTGAAAAGCTTGGGCAGATGTACACTTTGCTGATGGAGTTGCTATAGCAACTTTTATTTTCTTCACATTTCTACAGTTGGAGAAGTTTACATCCTCTGCAATTTTAAGAAGTAACGCCTTCAGCTAGCTAGCATAAAGGTGCATACATTATGAACCTCTCTGGTCAGTAAGTTAAAATTGCAAGGGTCAGCAAACAAAAACCTTAAATAACAATTCCTGAATACAGCACGCCAACTATTCTCTCTCTTGAAGTCAACTATGGTATTGAAAGCATACAAATATGACATGAATTAGATACAATTACTATTGCATACACTTGAATCTTCTGCTCTTAGACCTTCCTGCTTGGGTTCACTTATTTTTCTAAAGTTCACTTGGCTGTTTTCTCTTCCCCGTGCTCACCCATCCCTTCAGAGACATTACACGGCTCTTTAAACCAAGAGCTCACCCAGCCCGGCGCTTCTGCACACACAGACAGAATTTGACAAGCAGGGATGCAGACGTTTGCTTTCCCACAACTCATTAACACATCCAGAAAATAAAAGTTGAGAAACGCAATGAGCCAGGAACAACACTGACGACATTTGGGTAAATGGCACAAACATGTTCCCATAACAAATTCCTCCACTGACTGCCTTCACTTCTGCTCAGTAACTTGCATAGGCAGGTGCCGGTCCTTAGTTTATTTGCACGGCTCTTCTTGACTAAGCTTACAAACTGTAAGCATTCCAGCAGCCTTGGCAAGAGCTGGGACATGCAGCAGCTCAAGAGGCAGAACAGCTCTGGAAACGAGAGTTCAAAGGGAAGTGAAAATAAACTCCCATGCAGGGTGCTGAAGCTGTTTTGACTTGGCTTGATAATTTTTTAAGGAGGAAATTTAACAGGAAGAAATTCTTTAAACAGGCAAACAGCAAATGCAGAAGTACATAACAGCCATAGCTTGCTGGAGCAAATTATGCAACAAGCTACAAAGATTTTACACTGTTCAGCGAAACCGTGAGAAGCTTTGAAGTACTCATCAAGGGCTCTGAGTGAAAACTTGAGATGCGATCAGCTGGCAGAAACATACACGAGGACTCCCTGATTCATTTTGCACTAGGCTGTTGTAGGATCGCTTTTAAGGATGTAGCGGTATTTATATTCCTTATTTTAGCTGCTCCGCTGGCAAGCGCGAAAATTGACAACTGATGCCAAACATTCGGAGTGTCGTGTGCTCCAGTACTAACTTCTTGCCATGAATCATCTCGTACTGTCACATTATTGTAACATTATTACCATGATAAACACGGTAATGAAGTATTATTAGTATAATAAATTACTGAAAAACAATAAGCAATTTCATCTGCACAACATCCACAATCCCCATGACTTATTTAGCTGGTAATATATCTGCATAAAATTAATGTATGTAAAGTCTTCCTTAACATCCTGTATCTTACAGGAGCCATGATCTCATTAGTGTTAACCTCCCAGAAGGCAGATAACGAGAGAAAGGGAGACAAAAGAACACAACAGAGGCCACAAGTAGCAAGGACAAGGTAGGTAGGGGTCGTTTACACATTAACTTCTCCTGCATTAAGAGCTGTGGGGCACCAAAGAAAGTCAGAGTTGTAGCCAGGCCCAGAATTAAGATCAGGATTCTTGCAATGGGTACGTGAGCTGCACAACTCCTTGCCACAGCACCCTGTCTGATCCTAGGAGTTTACATGTAAGTTCACAAAAGAAAAAAAAATCACTAAAGATTCCTACATGCAAAGAAGCTCAGGAAATCCTTGAACTGCAAGTGTCAGGGCCTCAGGAAAACATCATTAAACATTAGCCCTGCTTACTGGCTTCTTTTGCAGTTAACTTTTTCTGTCTGGTAGGTGGGTTTTGGTCCAAGCCTGTAAGGCTGTCCATACGGCCCTACATCACTGAGATTCTGCTCAAGGTATGTAAGGCACGTCCTGACAACAGCAGAGCTCTGCAACGGATTGTGACTTTCCACGTCACCCAGCCATGCTGTAGGAGGAAGTCACAATTGATTGTAACTTCTAAAACATGTACCATAGTTTTTTGACCTGTTTTATTGTAAATTCTTAATAAAAATGTTAACACCATCAAACTGTCAGAATAAAGCAAAGCTCAGAAAGAAGCCAACGCAAGTCAAGTTCTTTTAAACTTGCAGGGACTTGCAACATGCCTTCGACAAAGAACTAGTTTCGAAGGTACGGTATGACAGCAGCCCAAGAACCTGCCTTTGTATCTCCTTGCCTCGCAGGAAGGAGAAGAATGGTTTACGTATACTGCTCAATTATAAAAGGGTTAACATTTTTATCACCTCATCTCCTCAACACATCTCTCTGCCAGCTTTTTTTTTTTTTCTTTTTAATTTTTAGGGTGAGGAACTTCCTCAATTGCAGAAACTCGCAACTGCTTTTTAATTCTTAAAAGGATTTTTTTTTTTTAAGTGAAAGGTTTAAACTCTTTATGCAGCATTTCTTGATGTATTAAAAAGAAACAGGCTGTACCTGACTGCTACCAAGGGCTGGGGAGCACCAGCCCCAGCCGTGTTTGCTGGAGCTCTCCCCGGCTCAGGCTGTGCTCACACCTTAGCAGTCCCAGCGCTGCCAGCAGCGAAGCACTCCCGAGGCTACAAAACAGCTCGGCTTCCCACACCGCCAGGACAGACAGCGATTACGGCTACACACGCAATCGCTGCCAAGACCGTGACGGCAAAAAGACGAGAAACAACTTGGGGTTTTGCACTGAGCGGGCGTTTATCCCTCTCCCAGCCGGCTCCCCTCAGGAGGGGCGAGCTGTGCTGCTGAGCAGAGCACCTCAGAGGCAAACTGCTGAGGGCTTTCCCACCTTGCTGCTGCAGCAGGCAGGCAGCACAACTGAGTCACAGTGTTTCACCGAAGCCTCCGCTCCAGAAGCAGTTTACAGGGCCTTTTTTTTTTAACACCCCCAGTATTAGTCAAAAACGCGAGGCCAGCGTTAAGTTGGCAGCAAGAACTTCAAGCCCCGCTGCGAGGTCCCTCAGTGTTTGGTCTCCGGGAATCGCCTAAGAGGCTTGGGTTGGAGAGATGAAAGTTGTCCCCTTTCCACAAGCCTTAGGTCTGCCTCAGCGCTGCGAACGGCTCCTAGCCGGTAGCCTTGATGAAATAATAATAATGAAAAAAAAAAAAAAAAAAAAGGTAAAATAAACACAGCACCAGCCAACCAACCTCCGCCTTTCCCCAAAGGCCTCCAGCCCACCCCACGGGGCCGTGCAGCTCCTCCAACTTTTTAAGGGCCCGAGAAGCCGCCCCGAGACCCCGGCCCGGTCACCCGGGGCCAGGTGCCACAGGGACCCCGTCCCCCATAGGGACCCCCCCCAATGTCCCCTCGTTCCCGCAGCCGTCCCCGCTCCGTGCCCTGCCTCACGCCAGCCCCTGGCAGAGCCGCGCAGAAACTTGGACGCCTCACCGGTGCGGCGCTGCCCTCCGTCGCTCTGCTCCTGCTGGGCCATGCCCGCCCCTTCCCCGCTGCGGCACTAGGAGGCGGCCGGCGGCTGCTCCATCGCCCCTCGCCGGCCCCCGAGGAGGAGCGGCGGCTTCAGCGGAGGGGAAGCGGCGCAGCCCTCGCCCGCCGGGTCCCCTCCGCGGGCAGCGCCGAGCCTCCCATGGCGCCCGCCCCCGCGGCGGGCACGGCACCTGGCTGCGCCGGCGGGACAGGTGCCGAGCTCCTGACGGGACTCCCCGCTCTCCCTGCCTCCTCCTCCTTCGCTTCTTCTTCCTCCTCCTCCTCCTCGTTCTCCTCCTCCAGCCCCAGCGCCGCCCGCCGGCCGAGGGAACGCCTGCGCGGTGGGAGGCGGGCTGGCACCCGGGGGAGGCGGCCGCTGGCCGCCATTTTGAGACGCCTCCAGCCATGGGGAAGGGGGGGGACCCGGGGAGGCATGGCCCGGGTCGCCTCAGGCGCAGCCCAGGCCGCGCCGGGTTGTGGGGTCAACCTGAGGGGGCAACGAGGAAGGGTTCCCCTGGAGAGGGTTCTCTTGTACCGAAGGCTCCCCCCAGGCAGGGGGCTGTGAGGTGATGGTGGTGGGATGGCCCCCGGGGAGGAGATGCCAGCGGGCTGGATTTCAAAGGAAAACAAAATTTGGTGTTTTACACTAGTTTGGTACTGTGGGAAGTGTCGGTCTGGGGGTGCATCCGTATTTCTGTGGAACCGGGCCATAATGCCAGAAGTTGAGGCTCTAGGATGATGGATGGTATTCCAGCATGTGTATATTTATGTTTCCATTCTCTTAGCTTTATTTGCCTTCTTTTACCCCATCTCAAAGTGCTCGGATGTTTGCATCACCAACACAACTCTCAGTGCACCCACACACTGAATCAAAGGGGTCAGAAGCACTCGGTATCTCACAGGAGTAGAGCTCATGTTTCCTTCTCATGTTTGAAACTCATCCTTTTTTTTTTTTTTTTTTTCTTTTTTTTCTTTTTTTTTTTTTTTCTCCCAGAAAAAAAGGTTCTAGGTGATCATGTCTATAGATTATGTTAAGATACATTAAGGTAGCAAAGCAGTCATCCACCTTAAGAGCATATGTAAATACGAACTTCTCATAATCTCACTCACACGTGTTGAGTCTACCATAAAGCTGGAAGTTTGAATGGAGCAAATGCAGGAATATCTGAACTTGTATTAATGTAATTAGTTAAATAACCAGAGCAAAGCCACGATTATATGAGCTTTGATGTGGGCAAGTTACACCTGAATAAATTGTCAGTCTGAGGTGAACTTGTACTGAAGTACTTGCCACTGTGACCCCATTGACAGCAATCCCATGGTATCAAGATGAGAATTAGCACATTATCAAGATGAGAAGAAGGCACTTATCAACAACAACCAAAAATTATACTTCTGCATGGTTCAGAGAGAGATAAATTTGAGGATTTGTTCTGCTGGATTTGTAAGATGAATATCAGAAAGAATATGAAACAGTTAAAATGTCACATTTTTCCTTATCTTAGAAAATCATACCAACCTCTGTAAGACACCTTTTTTATTACCTTTAAAACAGAGTAAATAAAAGAAAAACTCCTTTGAAACACTATAATATAGTGTTATAGTATAAAGTTATATGTATATAGTTTATGCAAGAGATACTATGTTGGAAGATACACCAATTCCTTTTTCAGTATTAATATTTTCCTTTTGTTTTTGAGAATGGAAATCAATCTCTCTTTTTGTAGCAGCTAGAAGATTGTACCGTCACCATGGTATCATCTATCTTTGGTCAAAGTTGTTAGGTCCTACGGTAAATAACAGAATGAGAGTACGTAGTCATGAATTCTGTATCTGTGAAGTGTCTCCAAAGGCACTAATTAATTACACTCCTATCTTTGCAATTTTATTGAGGATGAAGAAACTTTTAAAAAGTCTGCCATAAGAAATCTTTCAGCAGTAGCTGAAAGTAACCAAGGTACATAAAGACTTTTAGTGTCAGTACTTACTTAAGAGCAGAGTTGTGCCCTAACAGTCATAATGCCTTGAAATCTTGCCTTGAAATGCCCATTCTAAACTGATTTATTTTGGTGGATTTTTCCATTTCCAACCCACTGATGACTCCTCCTGTTCAGCTGGTGTACTTCTTGACACCTACTCACAACAAAACTCATATTGTTCTCTGCACTGAAGACACGTGTTAGAACAACCAGGATCCCACTCTGCTAGGCAGCATAAAAATACCAGGGTCATCCTTAAAATGCTTGCAGAAAACCACAGCCTAGTCAGTGTAAAATATATACTCTTTAATACTTGTGAACGACCATATACTTAGTTGAAATGAGTAGTAGCATTTTGGTTGTTGTGAACTACTAGCAAAAGTCTACTTTTTCCAGCAACAATTAGCATTAGTTCTGTTAAGGCTGCCCTCATCAGAGATAATGTAGTTTCTCTCTGCAAGTATTGTGTATTATTATTCTGTATTGATGAAGGGCTGAAATTATGTGACTAAATACAGCTTCGTTAGCCTTCATGGAAGTGTGGGATGTCCTAATTGCTAAAAGGAAGCTGAACAGGTACTACCAGGTACAGGAAGCATAAATGCATAACTAAGATCAAAGGAGTGCTTTAGCAACCTTTGTTTTTCTGCTGTGCAACATTTAAAGGACTTCATCCTGAAGGGCAGGCTGAGAAATGGCCTGTTCATTTTATTAGTTGGACTGTAAGTAAACCCCCAAAAGCATGATAAAAAGTCAGCTTTGGTGCTGTATTGTTTGCTAACATGTCATGTGCTTGTTAGTGTTTTTTGTGTCTAAACCTGCTCGACTGCTTAAGTAGTTTGAAAAACAGAAATTTGCATAAAGTGACATGACCACAGAGGATACAGGAACAATGTTTGCAGTAGCTTGAGGTTTTTTGGTACTAGATGAGCTGTATCCTTCCTGAATTATTTGGAACCTACTAAATACTTCTTAAAACAGTGAAATGTGACCTGAAAAATAAACCCAAGTACAAATATGTTCAGCCTTCACCATAATTTTGAGTAGCCTGGCACACTGAGAAGGGCAAAAATAAAAAATTCCTGAGAAGCATTCACACTGACCAGTCACGATGGTTATCATCAGTGCTCTGGCATTGACTTAGAGTCAAGTAACCCTGTAAAATAAATATTTAGGTTTGTAAAAATTCTGGGACAAAATGTTTTAAAGTTCAAGAGTGTTTTGCCTGCAGCTGCTGGGTAGAAATGAAGCACTGGACAGAGCAGCCTGGGACTGGTAACTGATGTTCACCTAGCAGGCAAAAAACATCAAAGTGGTCTAATAATAGCTTAGTGCTAAAACTTAGAATTTAATTTCTAGAAAACGTGTTTCAAAAGCCCTGCCATACAAACTCATATCCAGACCATCAGAGTTAAATGCACCAGTTTTATGGTTATTCTGCAAGAAAGCAGGAAGGGTTTCCTGTGCTCTGTTCTGTCTCAACAATTTCTCCAAAATATACATGGCTATGGAAAAAGTATGCAAAGTAACAGTCCTTACCTTGTTTTTTTTAGAGTTAAGGAACGGAAGTGCAAGCTCCCCTCATGCTTCTTTAGCCTATAGATGGTGGGAAATCATTCTCTGCTTACTCTTTCAGTTCTGTTTTGAAGCTTCAACAATTTTGCAATTGAGAAAACTTTTAAAAAAACTAGGGGGAACCGTCGAGATTGTATTTTCATTCATAGCAAGCCAAGTATGATGCAAGCGGGTTTCAGACAGCCAAACTGAGCTTCATGGTCATGAGCATGAGGTCAGCAATTCTCTGTCATAAACTAGTAGAAATCCCACCATAATATTTCTTCCCCAGTTAACCAAAGGTTTACATGTTGTGAAGATCCAGCATTCACACAGCATTGTGTACCAGCTGATCAGCAACCCCTGCCTGGATTTCCCATCACTGTCATTTAACGTAGTTTTTTTTTTTAGCTCATGCAAGCAAGAGAGCAAGCGTGCTGAGTATAACAAGAGATGGATAATCTCTGATACATACGGTCCATTGGGCAAAGAGACAGAGAAGGTCACTCTTGAAGGTGAGTGTCAGAATGGAAAATGAGACATTGATCTTTTTCCTCCTTGCTTTACAGAATTGCTTGTACATATGGGTAAGTAACTAATGCCTGTTTTGTGGCACAGGAAAAGGGAACAGCGAATTCACGTTTCCTACACTGACTTGTAGCTAAGATGATTTGATCAAAAATTATCACCTGACAAGCAAATGGTGATGTTTTTGACAAATGGAGAATAATTATGCTGTTCTCCTTCAAAGTCATCACAAATTAATTTCGCTCTCACTAAACTAATATTTGCCTGGTTTTTGTACATCTGTGCTTGACAGCAGTCCATTTCCAGCACAGCCACCACCTGCATAGGCTTTCCTACTAGCAGTGGCAATTCTGTCCACCAAAACAGTTCAATAGGTTTGGGATGAGTCGGGAACAGCTACAGAAGCTGCCGTGTTATTCTCCCCAAAGGATGACGCCTTCTATAGGAATTTAATTCTGATAAATGCAAAAGGATGAGGAAAGTGAAACCAGGTCTGTTACTGCCATCAATGTTCATCCTTTTGTTACCACTGGGTAAAAATAGACTTTTATGGTTTAAAGCTTCCATCCATAAGACAACAAGAAAAAGAAACCTAGGAGAAGGTACTGTGAGACTTTGCAGCACTTTTGGATTGATATTACTGAAACCATGTGTACGTGACCAGAATGTTTCTATCGTTGTTTACAAGCTATTTAGGAAAGACAAAATGAGTAAAAAGGTGTGAAGGAAGAAGACTATACGTACTAAAAATGCTGCTTCTTGTATTAAGTTTCTCAGCACAATTTAAATTGTGTTTCTAAAAGCAAATAGATTAATTCTGTAACACAAAAGGCATCGCACCCAGCGTATGGTAACTTTCTATTGGAACTTGCTAGGAAAGAAGCGAGTACAGAACAAAAATCAGTTGTTGTCTAGAGTTAGTAATGTTGAATGCAATAAAGTAATACTCAGTTTAGGCAGATAGATCCAATTAATATTCTCTGTGGAACTGTAGTGCTTCAAAAGACTTGATATTTCTGTCTTGAATAGGATTGTAGGGAAAAGGGAAAAAAAATATTTTAACAGCATGAATGAGAAGATGACTTTGTTGTCAAATGGATAAAGGTTCCAGAATCAATAGAGTAAGGGCTAAAATCCCATCTCAAAGTGAAGACAGTTAAAAGCCAAACATCAATACAGAAATTGGAAGTTACAGAACAGAAAAAAAAGTGTAAGAGAGAAAGAGTAAAATCCTACTGATG